CAGCAGAAAGGCCGATGTGGTGAAGCACAGTAAACACATGGGAAAGTGGTGGGAGGGTATCGGCAGCATAGGAGTAGACATACAGAGAGAAAGCGGGAGAAGGAGAAACAGGAAAATAGGAAAAACAAACTGAGACAAACTACAAGGCAAAAAGATAGAAGCAAAATGATAGTAGCTGCAATTTATAGGGTACAATTTCCATGATATATTCCATTATCCCATTATCTATCAATATACACATACACACATATTATATATGTATATACACTTTTTATTATGGAAAACTTCAAACATAAAGAAGTGAAAAGAAGAGTATAATATCTATTCATTACTATTGTGTAATGAGCCACTCCAAAATTTAGTGTCTTAAACAAAGAATGTATGATTTCTCATAATTCTGGGGCTTGACTGGGCACCTCTGCTAGTCTCTCCTGAGGTCGCTGCATTCTTTTACGGATGGACTGGAGCTTTTGTCCAGAGTGCATTGATTCTCCTCTGCATGGCCACTCTACGTGACTAGCTTGGGCTTCTTCACAGCATAGGGATCTTAGAGTTCTAACAGCACAAAAGCAGACGCTTCTAGTTCTCTTAACAACTGGACCTGGACTGACCCAGCATCATTTCTACTGTACTAGTCAAGGCGATCCAGAAGCCAGACAGACGGAAGGTGAAGGAACACACTCTACCTCTTAGTGGGAGAAGCCATGTGCTAGTAGAGAGGGGAGGAATCACTGGCAGCTAACATGGGAGACAATGCACCACGAATGCTTAACATACACCAGTGCTGTGTGTTGTGGGCTGTTGATATTCTACTTCACCTAATTCTCAAGCAACCCCGTGACATAGGTATTATCAACCCCATTCTACAGGTCTGTCAGGGAAACAGGAATGGCAGCTAGACTTGATTTCACGTCTGTCTCTAAACCAAGCTGTATGTATGTTATTTATATTCCACACAAAAATAAAGTCAATGGCCACATCAAGGCTTAAATCAAGGTCTCTAGCTTCCCAAAATGTGAAATATATATTTTATAAATATGTATATAAATTATATAAATATAAATATATATGCAGGTACTTCAAAAAGGGTGTGGAAAGATTCATATTATCTTTTAATTCTTTTTCCATGAACTTTTTAATTTTTTTTTGTCTTTTTCCGTGTCCGGCAACGGATCGCAACCCTCAGTGTTGCCCCCGTACCGGACTGGGGACCCGGCGACAGGATTGCAACCCTTGGCGTTGCTCCCGCGCCTCGCTCAGCCAGTGAGCGGGAACCGGTCTGTATGTGGGATCCGAACCCTCAGACGGGAGCGCCGCCGCGCTTCCCAGGGGGCGCACTATCCAGTGCGCCACCGGGCCGGCCCCTTTCCATGAACTTTTTGAAGTACCCTCGTGCGTGTGTGTATGTGTGTATGTCTGTGTGTGTATGTGTGTGTACCTGTATATGTGTCTGTGTGTGGTGTGGGTCTGTCTTAACATAAGAATAAACATAATTTTTAACTGATGGGGAACACAGAGATACAAAGGAGAAAATAAACAAAAACAGAAAGAAAGAGGAGAGAGGCATGCACTTGGAGGTCAAGACCAGGAGACAGAAACCAAGAAGCAAGGCCAGCGAGATACAGAGGGAGAAACAAAGACTCAGAAACGGAGCGAAAACGAAAGAGAGACTGAGATTGATGGAACCCATCTATTTAATCAATTTGGCCTGGAAGCTCCACGAGGGTGAAGCTCCACTCTTAGAGCAGTGCCCGGCACTCAGTAGCGGCTCCAATGCGTTCACAAGGAACTAGGCAAGGTAAGCATGAGTCTGCAGTTCCCAAAGTCACCACGAGGTGGCACTGTCCATAAACCCTGGAGCCTCCAAATGCCAAAGTCCGAGAGACTGCGGTGGAGAATTTGCCGCCACAGGCCCCTGACTTTCAGGATGTCTTCCCCCAGGCTCAGCACAGACTTTCGCTGCCTGAGCCCTGGGCGATGAGTGACCTTTCCGCTTGAGACACCCTTTTCTTCACTCCCCTCCACCACCCTGCCCAATAAAACAACCCTTTGTCCTCGTCCCCTTCCGGCTGGGCTCCGAGACACCTGGGTCCTTTCCAGGCCCGGAGATAGGGTTGGAACGAAGGTGGGGCAGCTGGGACGAGGCCAAGGAAAAGTCCTGGAGAGTTTGAAATCAGTTCTTCCGTCTTCCTGGAAAAAAAGTATGGGATCCATGTCCCTCCTCCCCCAGACCCAGGAGTCCGGGCCCCCCACCCCCGGCCCCTCCTCTTGGGCCCCTGCTCTTAGGCATTGAGGTCCTCTGGCATTCCGTCTCCCTCTCTTTTACAGAGACCCCTCTCCTCCTTCACTCCCCCCTCCAGGGTTGAGACCAAGGCTGAGTCACAGGAAGCTCTGGGGCCCTGAGTCACCCCTACCCCCTGGCTCAGCCCCTCCTTCCTGGGCTGGAGGATGCTGGCTGTGGAGTGATATTTCCTACTGACTGACCCCTGCAGTCCAGAACTTCAGTTTGGAAGCAGGTGCCCTCCCACTGTGACCCCATTGCAGCCACCCAGGCATCTTCAGGCCCAGCCTTTGCAGTTTTTCTCTTTTAGTGTGGTCTGTCTGCAGATAAAATTTCTCCCTTCTCTAACTCCCATGTCTTGATTCTGGCTTCTGCTTTCTCTTCACCTCTGGGTCTCTTCCCTCCATGTCTTTGACTTTTTAATATTCTCTCTCTTGCACGCACGCTCTCTCCACCCACCCCCCCCCCACACACCCTGTTCCCCTCTGGCTGCACCGCTCAAGGTCTCTGTGATTATCTCTCTTTCCCTCTGTGTCAGTCCCTGTGTCAGGTTTTCACCAGTGCCTGAAAGACAGCACAGAAGCTGTGGAGGGAGGGGCTGAGCCGGAGGGCTCTGCCTTGTGACTTCTGACGCGCAGGTGGATGCGGTCTCTGTATCTCTGGCCCTAAGCCTCTGAGTGGTACCGGCGTGGAACTGGAAGGGCTGGTGAACAGCAGAGAGAAACTGAGGCAAGGTCAAGGACAGAGAGGCCCAGACAGAGAGAAACATAGAGGCTCAAATGGAGACCCGGAGGCAGGGAAAGAGTGCAGCAGAGACGTGAGCAAGAGACAGAAGCACAGGGCCCTAGAGACAGAGAATGGGGCAGAAAAGGGAGCACAGAGACAGACAGGAAGACACACACAAAGATGAACGCAGAGAGACAGTGACAGGGAGAGAAAAGGAATAGAAAAACTGAGGGACACAAAGATGGAGACAGAGGTAGAGAGACAAAGGGAGATACCCAGAGAGAGAAAGGGGGATACACAGAGAGAGATAGAGACAGAGGCACGGGGAGAGAAAAACAGAGACCGAGAAAGACAGACGAAGACAGAGGTAAAGACAAAGCCAGAGGCTTCCAGAGGAGGAGAGGCTGAGAAAGGAGCCCAGGGAAAGGCCCAGAGAAACGAAAGGTGGAGAGAGGCACAGAGAGACCGAAGCCAGGCCACAGGGGCGGCGGTGGCCGGGCCGAGGCCTCGAGAGTGCCTGGGGCAGCCTTTTCTACAAGCGGACACCGTGTGCCGTCTGGGTGTGCCCGGGGGTGTCTCTATCCTTCTCCCGCTATGTCTCACTGAGTGGGAATCATTTGTGTGCCATGAGGTGGGGCCCCCGCACGGATTGTGTTTTTGTCACTGGGTGTGTCTGTGTGTGTGGTTTGGTGTCTCTGGGTGTGTCCATGTGGGTTGTGTTGGTGTGTTGCCAGGCATGTCTACGCATGAGTGTCTCATTTCTCTGTGGCTGGCGGGTCCACGTTCCTGCATGACATAGGGCATGGGGAGGGGTTATGTCTGTGGGTTCCTGCGACAGCAGTGTCCATGAGGACACTGTGACTGCTGTGGCATGAGATTAGTGTGTAACACTGTACGAGGTGTTTTGTGTTGCCATGTCAGTGTGTCCCTGTGTGTAGCTGTGGGAGGGTTTAAATCTATGTCCAAATGTGTGGTGTACACACCCATGTGTTTCTTTTGTGCTGCTGCAAATTGTCACATTCTACAGTGTGTGTCACTCTGGGAGTCACTGTGCATCATTCTGCATTGCATTTGCTGCTGTGTGTGTCAGTGTGTGTTGTGTCTCATTGTGGGCCTTGTGTGTGTAACGTTGTGTATCACTTAGTGATGTGACCCTGCCTCTCATGTAAAGATGTATGTCCATGTCAGTGGCCTCTACCTTCTCTGCCAAGAACACAGCCTGCATGCCCACCACTCGCGCTGTGTTGTGTTTGTGTGGCCAAAATATATCAGAATGTCTTACTTTGAGCAGGTGCTGCTTGGGTTTCTCTGTGTGTCGTCGTACACTGCAGGTCTCTGCATGCATCTGCTCAGTATTCTCTGACCATGAACTTGGATCACATTGTGCACCAGGGTATCCTGTGTGTCTGGGTGAATCAGTGTGTGCTGTGCATCATCATCATAAACGTGGGTGCTGGAGTTGCCATGCGCCATGACGTGTGTCAGTGTGCATTTCTCTAAGTGCTGGGTGACTGGGGCTGCCACAGGAGTGTCCCTAAATGTTGTGTGTCTACACATATTGGGTATTGTTCCATGGGTGTGTCATGTTTGGGACACCATGAGTGCATTGTTTACATAGGTGTGTTGTGTGTGGCATTTGGGTATCACTATGTCAATGCATATTGTGTGTTTCTGTAGCACTTGGTGCATGTTGTGTTTGTGTAGCCAAGGATGTGCAACACTCTATGTGTGGTGTTTGGGTGTGGCTCTTTGTGTCAGATAATGTGGTGACAGTTTTGAATGTAATGTTTGTGCCTGTTGTGTAGACAATGTTTGGGTAGCTGTGTGCACCACGGGACACTGCCTGCCTTGCTAAGTGCCTGCGTGTGTCACACCATGTGTGTAGTGTCTGGGGGTGGCTGTGGGTTTCAGAGCTTATTGGGAGTTGTGAGTCACTCCGTGTAGGTTGTGTTGTGTGCCCTGGTGTGTGAGGCTACGTTTCCGGCCATGCTGTGTCATGTGGTGTCTGAGTGTGGTGAGTGTAGGTGTGTATCACAAGGTGCAGACCATTGTGTGTGTCAGTGTGTGTCTATCTACATGGATGGATGCCTCTTCCTTGCTCTGCCCCAAGACACACCCCAGCCCCTCCTTAGCCTGGGAAGAGGGGTTGGGGAGCCTCCCCCTACCCAGGGTCCTCCCCGGTCCCTCCCCGCCCTGCCCAGCCGTCACCACTCCCCAGAGGGCACAGGGCTCTGCTGTGCCTCAGAGCAAAAGCCCCAGAACAAGCAGAGCAGCCAACCGGCCACAACCTGCAAGCCACAGTGGCTGCTCTTTGCCTGCTGCGAGGTGGGGGATCTTGGGCAGGAAGCTGGCTGAGTCCCAAGACCCTGGGGGCCATGGGCGGGGAGCTGGTGCCTGGCCTGGGGGCCCTGCGACGGCGAAAGCGCTTGCTAGAGCAGGAGAAGTCGCTGGTGGGCTGGGCGCTGGCGCTGGCGGGAGTTGGCATCGGACTCATGGTGCTGCACGCAGAGATGCTGTGGTTCGGGGGGTGCCCGGTGAGTGGAGCCCTTATTCTGGGCCATGAGAGGCTGGGGGCTGTGACTTCTGGGTCTGAGGGAAGAGGAGGCTGGGGCCTTGACTTCTGGGTCTGAAGGAGGAGGAGCTGGGGTCTCAACTCCCAGGACCCGAGGGAGGTAGATTCTGGAGACTCTCTGCAGGAGGAAGGGAATAGGGATCACAGCATTTGTCTTTGAAGATGTTGCAATTAGACTGCGGAGACCCAGCACCCCTGGAGGCCAGAAGGTGGCTGATCAGATACTGAGTTTCCCAAAAGCAGATTAGGAGAGAGGTAGCCCCAGGTTTGGTGAAGGGAGGGTGGAGAGAAAGACTAACTTCTTCCAGTAGGCGGTGGCTCCTCGGTTCTTATCTAACCTCTAACTTTTACCCAGTACCTCAGCTGCAAAGGCAGAGCCCAGAAAAAAAACTGGCAGGGGTGGGAAATGGAAAACACCCTCCCTCCCACACCCCTCATCTCCAGTATTAAGTTCAATTTCCCCCAGAATCTACCTGCTATTTAGTAGGGGAAATAATGGAGAGGTAGGTTTATAGTAACCTGGACTCCTGGGCCCCAGGGGAGGAGGGGGATGGGGGCCAAGGCTCCTGGGTCGGAAGGAGAAGGATTAGAAAGTCTTTGAGGGAAGCAGGGCTGACAACTTTAAGGATAGTGGGGAGTGGGGAGGAAAAGGACAGGTGGGGTGGGACAGATCTCAGCAGGCTCCTCACACATTCCAGCCTGGTCAGGACAGTGACGGGGGCAGATGGAGGGCAAGGGTCAGAATCGGTGGCTCGGTGGCTCGAGGGGAGAATGGAATTGCCCGACAGGAAAGGAGGGGTTGGAGACCTGTCTGGGACTATGGGTTGTGGAATTAGGCTGGGGGGGGGAGGGGGCGGGCGCTGATGTGAAGATTGGATTGAGAGGATTCCCGGGGACTGAGGCTCAGACTTGGATTTCAGGGCGGAGGAGGTGGGCAGCTCTGAAGTGACCAGGAGCCACGTGGAGGGTCAGGGCAAGCCAACTTCCTCTGGCCAGGCGGCCGAGGCGAGGGCAGCAGACACTGAGGGGGTGGGGCTGCCAAAGCCCATGACAACAGGAAGCAAGGCTGGGGCCAACCCGCCACTTCTACACTTCAGCACCGCACCCAGCAGGGGAGGTGGGGACATGGTAGCCCCTGGCAGATGGAAAGGGACAAGGGGGTCCTTTCTTCCCCACCCCCTCCTCCCATTTCTTACCTCTCCTTTCTTCCTTCCCGCTACCACCTGCCAGGCCACTACCTCTGTCAGTGGGACCTTGGGGAAGCTGCTGCAGCTCTCTGAGCCTCAGTCTCCCCATCTGTAAATTGGGGGTGAGGATTGAAATACATGACCCTACAGGTCCTCCTTAGTCTTGATAACAACCATGTCCCCTCACCCTACAACCATCTTAGTCTAATGAACTCACCTTGCATGGCCCCAGAAACCTGCTCCCAGGGGGAGGGACTGGCGGGGAGGAAGTGCAGGATGGAGAGTGGTACAGAGAGAGAAACAGAGATGCACAGAGAGAAAAAGATGGAGACAAAGATGAAGTAAGAGACAGAGAGGTGCAGTCACAGAGAAAGACAAATAGAGAAGACTTGAGATCTGCTGAGAAATTCACTAGTAAGAGAGATAGAAAGCCCAATAGAAATAAAGACCCTCAAAACACAAGGAGAGCAGAAACAACCATCCCCAGAGACAGGGAAATTCAGACACCAGAATACAGGCCCAGTGTGAGCGGGTCTGGGATTTGGGGTGGGAGGAACTGGAACAGTAGAGAAGCCACCAGAGAAGTGAACTGCAGTGTGGGGTGGGGACTCCTGTCCAGCGGGGTGGGGATTGAGACAGACTGAAGAAAGAGACAGGGAACTGGGGAGCCATAGAAGTAGGGGGGGGGGGGAAGGGCTGGGGACAACGGCACCATTGTTCCAGAAGGGGGAGAGGAGCAGGCCCCCAGGACAGGAAACTGGCCCTCTTCCTCTGCTCAGAGGTGGGGCCCAGCCAGGGGAGCTGGCAACGGCCTTAGGAGAGACAGGTGCAGGGCGCAGCAGGGGAGCCCAGGTAGCCCCCTTCCCTGACAACATCTCCCAGGCAGGGGCAACCCCTCTTGCCGGAATCCAGCAGTCCCAGTCCCCTCCAAATCCCTTCCTTCAGAATTCTAGATTCCTCCAACGTATTGCTACGCAAAGAGAGGTTTCTGGAGGCCCTATGCTTCCAGCCAAATCTGCCCTGGGCTTAGAGCCAGGAGAGAGGGCAGGAAGGGGGAGAGGAGACACAGGGGGCAGGAGTGGGGGTGGGGAGCCCTTTCAGAGCTGGGGCCAGGGTCTCAGGGGCTCAGCCCCCTGAAAGAGAGCAGAGAAGGATGTCATTCTGTGCTTGGTGATTTAATGACAGTTTCTAGGCTCTTCTGGAATTGGGGCAGGGGGGCATTGAAGTTGATTTCCAGGGCAGGACCAGCTGGGTGGGAAGGGAAGAGGAGGGGGCACTCTCCAGAGGCTAGGTGTCTTTTCTAGATACCCCTCACAAACACACACACACACACACACTCACACACACACACGCACTGAGGAACTATTTTTAATGGGGAACAGGACAGGGGAATAAGAAGGAATGTGAGTTTCAGAGGTATGGGTCAAGGGAGAAGAGCCAAGGAGGAAAGTGGACACCAGCACCTGGACAGGGTTTTCCATTTGGGAAGGAAGAGAGCACCCTCCCTGGGGACCAGATGATGGCTTGAGACTTCTCCAGAACCAAGATATCGGGAGGGACTGGTCTGGGTGGTGGGGGTTGGGAGGGTGGGTGGAGGAGGCTGGGAAACTGGGAATCGAGAAGGGATGGTACTTTTGGAGGAAGGTAGAGGGACTGACCAGGTGGAGACCTGGGATCTCATCCCCTTTTTCTATCCCTCCTGACAGTGGGCGCTCTACTTGTTCCTCGTTAAATGCATGATCAGCACTTCCACCATCTTGCTCCTTTGCCTTATCACAGCCTTTCACGCCAAAGAGGTCCAGGTAGGCGACGCCCCACCCCTGAGCCTTCCTCCCCCCAACCCCCACCACGCCCTGTCAGCTCACACTTTCCATCCTCTTCCACCTCCTGATCTGAGTAATGATGTTCCTCCACCCTGAGCTGCATCCACACCCTCACCCGTTGGGATGGGATGAACCACAGACAGACAGACAAAACCTCCTGGAGTGGCCCCGGCCCTTCCTCCACCTGCACCCCCTCCCCCCTTGCACACTCAGCGGTGCTAAGAGTTCTTGCCCTTCCAGCTCCCCAGCTTCCCCACCTCTGCACCCTGGGCCTCTGTCCACTCTGCCCCCAGGCAGCCTCACTCCAGGCCCGATCTCCCAGATCTCTGTCCTCCATCACTGTGTCTCCACCTAGTCCAGTACCAAGCAGCCTAAAGTCCCAGCTACTGCCCACTCCTGACCTCCCCAGTTCTGTCAGTAGCCTCCAGACCCAGGAACTCTTCCCACCCATATCTCCAATGCCATCTCACCCTGACACATCCCATCGCCCGTCTCCCCAGATCCTGTTGTCCCACTCTTCTTTCCCTGCCTCCCTCTTCCCATACCTTTGAGTATAGTGGGGACTATTGGCCATGCATAATAATGCCCCGTGCAGTGCCTGGCACATTAAAGGAATTCAGTAAAAAATGCACATTATCATTATCGTTAATAACAGTCATAGAGCAGTTAAGTGGTCTGGGTTTGTAGCCCAGCTATGCCACTGCCCACCTGAGAGACTTGGGCCTCAGTTTCCCCACCTATAAAATGGGAGCAATAATAATATCAATCTCACTGTGTTGTGAGCATTCACTGAGTCACAAACAAGGGGATAAAGCAGTGCCTGGCACCTCCAAAGTGCCCAATAAAGCTGGCCATTGTTATTGCTGATGTTACTGCTGTTACAGTTAACAAGTGTCCCCAGAAACAGGAGCAGGAGAAGGCTCCAGGGATGTGGGGTGTAAGCTCCAGGGAGGCAGGGGTTTACCTGCTTTGTTCTTCTCTATGCTCGGCACATAGAACAATGCCGGGCACACCGTAGACTAGGCGTTCAATAAGTGTTCACGGACTGAAAGTTCTGGAAGTAGGCTGAAACTAGGGGGTGTGAGAGGGGAGAAAGTGGAGCGATGATTTCCTCGGGTCCTGCCCGCCCCTTTCCCAGCCCTCCCCAGCCCCACAGCCCTGCGCTATCTCCCTCCCGGGGCCGGACGGGTGCGCCCCCTTATCTCCGGGCGCAGGCGGGCGGGCAGCCGCCTGACCTGCACCTGACCCGCCTCCCTGCTCGGCTCCTTCCCCGCAGCTGTTCATGACCGACAACGGGCTCCGGGACTGGCGCGTGGCGCTGACCCGGCGGCAGGCGGCACAGATCTTGCTGGAGCTGGCGGTGTGCGGGCTGCACCCGGCACCAGGGCTGGGCCCACCGTGCGCGCAGGGTTCGGGGGCGACGCAGCCCTGGCCGAGCTTCCTGAGCCAGGGGGAGGCGCTGCTGTCCCTGGCCATGCTGCTGCGCCTCTACCTGGTGCCCCGCGCCGTGCTCCTGCGCAGCGGCGTCCTGCTCAACGCATCCTACCGCAGCATAGGCGCTCTCAACCAGGTCCGCTTCCGCCACTGGTTCGTGGCCAAGCTGTACATGAACACGCACCCTGGCCGCCTGCTGCTCTGCCTCACGCTTGGCCTCTGGCTCACCACGGCCTGGGTGCTGACCGTGGCCGAGAGGTGAGGTTACTAGGGGCAGATGGGGTCGCGGGGGTACCTGGAGCACCTGAGCCACAGCCACTGCTGCCCTGTACGGTGGTACCTGCACGGTTGAGGGCCCCTGGCGCCAAACAGTGGAGAAAGCTCACACTTTCCACCCTTCTCTTCCTGGCTGTTTGCCCACACCCTCATCCTCCGGGGCTGGAGGAACCAACAGGCCAGCCCCAAGCATTCCTCTACATGCAGCCGTCAGGTCTTCCCAGATACACACACAGACCTTCGCAAGCCCTTCCCTTGTGTCTCCGGACCTCTCCTGCTTCAGGTTTCCAGGCATCTGTTCAGTCTCCAAATCCAGGCTCTGGGACCTGGCTAAGGGTTGCATCTGGCTTGGAAGAAGGGACACCTTTTCCAACTTAGCACAGAGGCACAGTAGCTGCTTGTTGTGACCCTGGCAAAGGGGTGATTTGGAACTGATCTGGAAAAGAATTCCCTGCAGAGAATTGGGACCAGATTCCAGGCTGCCAGCTGGAGACTGTGCGACCTGATGTGGGGCCCATACCCTTTCAGAGCCTCAATTTCTATCCTACAGAGAAAGAAATTGGGAGTAAATTTAGCCAGTGGCTCTCAAGGTGTGGCTCCAGGACCAGCAGCATTGCCTGGGAACTTGCTGCAAATGCATATTCAGGCCCCATACTTGCCAAATCCAAAATCCTGGGGAATGGGGCCCGGCAATCTGTTTTAACAAGACCTCCTGGTGATTGTGACACCCATCCAAGTTTAAGAACTTCTAGTTTAGTGCATCTGACAAAACATTCTTGAGAGGAGGTGGAAAATGAGAAGATTTGGCCGTAGATCTCTCCTCCCTGAGCCTCAGTTTTCTCATTTACAAAATGTGTGTCAAATTCTACCATCTTTAAAGTCTCACTGGCAATTCTATTGTTTCATGATTTTAAACTCCTTTACTTCCCAGGGTCTTAGTTTTCCCAACTGAGAAATCAGTCAGAATTAGGATTAATGAGTGATCCCCCCATCATGTTTCTCCTCTTAAAAATGGGAGAATGGGGAGGAAGTCAAAGTTCAAAATCCCAAGGCAGGAGTCCTCAAACTTGATTGTACTTGAGAACGGGGGCGTGGGGCTTGCTAACAGAGCAGATTCCATTCCCACCCCCGGAAACTCTGATTTAGTAAGTCTGAGGTGTCTGGGGCTCTCATGAATGAAGCTTTCCCTGATGATTTTGATGCAAGGGGCCTGTGGGCAAAGTTAGACAAATCTATTTTTTTATCCCTTCCATGGCTGGATGTAAATATCCCCTTCTATGAAGGGAGGGGCAAGGAGGGCAGAGTCCTGCCAAGGCTTTTTAGAGTTCCATCTTTTCACTTCTGATAGGACTACTTCAAGGCCATACAGCATCTTTGTGGAAATTAGAAAAAGACGCCCCTTCCTCTGGGTTGACACAGCCCCCTGCCAGGGTCTGACAAGTGAATTTTGGGCTGGGTTTCAGCTCCTAAACCCTCAATCACACACTTTAAATGTGGCAGCCCAGTAGCCTAGCTGAAACCACACAGGCTCTGGAATTCGCCAGACCCAGGTTCAAGTCCCACAGCCCACAGTGGCTGAGCATCTTGCCAGGTCACACAGCAGAGAAGAGGCCAGGCAGGCTTTCCAAAGCCCAGAACTTATTGGCTCTGTATCTAGTACTTCTTGAGACTACAGGTGTGCATTGGGAGCAGAGAGTGGCAAATGTGATAGGAATCTCCAAGGTGGAGTCTCAGACTCACGCACTCTTCCCTGTAGGCAGGCTGTCAATGCCACTGGACACCTTTCAGACACTCTGTGGCTGATTCCCATCACGTTCCTGACCATCGGCTATGGGGACGTGGTGCCGGGCACCATGTGGGGCAAGATTGTCTGCCTCTGCACTGGAGTCATGGTGAGTACAGCCGTCAGGGACCCTACCCCTATCCCAAACTGCTCATCCTCTGGGCCCCAGGAAACCATGGAGCCAACACAGGCTTTCAGGAACACCCTCTGAAAAACTTGGGTGTCTGCACCCCCACAGTCCTATTCCTTCTTCAGCACTCAGACACCCAGTACCATTTCCTTTTAAGACCAAGGAATCCAGCCCCTTTGTCTTTTCTCTCTCCAGAACCTAGTATCCTAGCCCTTATCCTCCTCAGGGACCCAGACCCCTGACATCCCAGCCCCATTTTGTCCCAGAACCCAGGAATCTAGTTCCCAGCCCCATCAAGACTCAGGCATCGGGGCCAGCCCGTGGCTCACTCGGGAGAGTGCGGTGCTGATAACACCAAGGCCACGGGTTCGGATCCCATATAGGGATGGCCGCTTTGCTCACTGGGTGAGCGTGGTGCTGACAACACCAAGTCAAGAGTTAAGATCCCCTTACCGGTCATCTTTAAAAAAAAAAAAACAAAAAAACAAAACTCAGGCATCTTTTGCTCCACCTTCTAAGTTGTCTAGGACTCAGGCACCTGGTTTTCCAGCTCCAGGCTCCAGCAGAACCCAAGAATTCTGTCTTCCATCCTCCATCAAGGGTACAGTGTAGTCATCAAGAGCATGCCTGTGGGGCCAGGCTACCTGGGTTCAAACCTTGCTTCTGCCACTTCCTAGCTGGGGTCCTTGGGCAAGCCATGTAATCTCTCTGGGCATCAATTTCCTCATCTATAAAAAAGGATGCCAATACTAGTATACTCCTCGTGGCATTGCTGAGATCGTTAAATGAATTCAACCATGTAAAGGGCTTCAAACAGTGTCCAGCACATAGGCAGTGCTTAGTAAACGGGGCTGGGGGCACTGTTATTGTAACTGGTCTCAGGCATCCAGCTGCTCCAACCCCAGCTCCTGTGTCCTCAATGATGAAACAGAGGCTTCCCAGCCCCCGAATCAAGCCTCCTCCCCACAGCGGCCTCTTCCTGAATCCAGATGTCCATCTCCTTCCCTCCATAGACCCAGTTATCCAGTTCCACTCACCCAGTTCCTATCGCCCTCCAGGCCCCAGCGTCTTATGCCTTGGCCCTCACCTTCCCACAAGATCTAGTTGCTCTTACCCTCAGGGACTAAGCCATCAGTCCCTAGCCCTGATGTTGTCCCAAGAGGGATGTGTTGAATCCCTAAGCCCTGAATCCACAGGTGATGGATGGGGTGACAGGGAAATATAATCGCCCATAATGGTGAGTCTTTGAGACAAGGGAAGAGAGGCCAGGAAAACACTCCCATAGGTCCAGGGACCCTTAAAGCTGCCTGTGACCTTCTCCCTCATTTGACAGGAGAAACGAACATCTTGAAAGATAAGGCAATGTGCACCAGAGCTCACAGCCCACTTTTGGCTGAGAAGTTCCATGGTGCAATGGAATAATAATCACTTTACATTTATTGAGCACATACTCTGTGCTGGTCTCTGCTCTAAACACTGTCCTGGGCTGGCCAGTTAACTCAGTTGGCTTGAGTGCAGCTTTATAACACCAAGGTCATGGGTTCGGATCCCGTACCATCCAGCTGCCAAAAAATTTATATATATAAACACTTTCTAGGTGTTAACTGATGGAATCCACAGAATAACACTGTGACGGCATGCCTGTTTTACAGATGAGAAATTAAATAACTGAGAGATTAAATAACTTGATCAGACCTGGGCTGGGAACCCAGGCAGCCCTTGGGGCCAATGTATGTGACCAGTAAATTGTTCTGAGTGATCGAGAGCTGAAACATATAGGGTGGGGGAAGCTTCAGAGGAGTATTCATTCTAACTCAAGGAAAAGTGAGCGGGTGCCACAGAGCAGTTGAGATTTGACAGGGCCTTCGAGGTTCTTCAAGAACCAGGAGACTTGGCAGAAGAAAGGGAGGAGAATGAATGTTCAGACAAAGTGCTCAGGCGGATGAGGCAGAATGCAGCCAGGGCTATGAGTTGTCTGGGAGTGAGTCCTAGACCTTGGAAGGTAGTGGGAACCTAGAAGGAGATTAGAATGAAAATGGCAGGGTCATAACAGGGTGTCGGGTCTCTCTGGGGTCAAGGTAAGGTGAGTGGGATGCTGGAGGTGGTCCAGGAGGGAGAGGACAGGGCCAGAGCTGGGAAGAGGCTGTGGGGGTGGGAGGAAGGTGAGAGACACCCTCCATGACCTAATGGCCAGCTAGGTATGAGCAGTGAGAAGGAAGCGAATCAGAGGTCTGCCCCTACCCAGAACCAGCTTTCCTCTCTCTCCTCCAATTATATTTTTGATGAAGGAGGCCATTCTGATGGAGGGAATACCACCATAGAATTTGGAAAGACATGTGCTTTCTGATCTCAGCTCCACCACCCTGAGCTGTAGGACCTTGGTTCTCCTTTCTGAGTCTGTTTGCTTGTCTGTCAAATGGGGATGGTTGTAGCTGCCTTCGGTGGCTGTTGGGAGGGTTCAAAGATAGAGTTGGTGGCAAAAGGCTGGCCCACAGAGCCCCGCAGCCTCATGCCACAGCACCTGCTGTGCCCACAGGGGGTCTGCTGCACAGCCCTGCTGGTGGCTGTGGTAGCGCGGAAGCTGGAGTTTAACAAGGCAGAGAAGCACGTACACAACTTCATGATGGACATCCAGTATGCCAAAGAGGTGAGGATGGGCATATGGCACACAGAATACACCCCTCCTCCAAAAGCCAGGAGTCCAGGCCCCAGCCTGCTCCTCTCCCAGGATCCAGGAGTCCAGGCCCCCAGGCTCCTCCTCCCAGAGCCCTAGGGGTCTATCTCCACTGACACTGTGCCACCCACCCCAGATGAAGGAGTCAGCTGCCCGAGTACTGCAGGAGGCCTGGATGTTCTACAAACACACGCGCAGGAAGGACTCCGGAGCTGCCCGCAAGCATCAGCGCAGGCTGCTGGCCGCAATCAACACGTGAGGGCCACTCTGCATGTGTGCGCATGCATCTGTGTGTGCCCATGTCCACATCATCTCTGTGCACAACTTGTGTGTGTGTGCATGACCATGGCTGTTCAGGTCAGGGCACCATGTATGGTTTCAATGAACAGCTGTTCACCTGGATTGGACCGTGGCTCTATGTGTCTATGCTGGTTTATCTGTGCATGTCTCAGAGTGTCTGAGGATGGGGCTTATGGGTGCAGTCACCCCCTCCCATCCCTTCAGCTCCTAGGCAACTTTTCCTCTTTGTAGTGTGTCTGTGTTGGTCTCTTCTCTCCTCCCCAGCCCAAGCTAGGGCCACATCTAGGGACCAGGTTTGTATGAGAACTGATCCCCCATATCTTCCCACAGGTTCCGCCAGGTGCGTCTGAAACACCGAAAGCTGCGGGAACAAGTGAACTCCATGGTGGACATCTCCAAAGTACTGGGATCCCATGGGAGGAGGTTTGGAAGAAGGGGGAGGTTGAGGTGGCTGGCAAGGAAATCTGGCCCTAGAATAAGGAACCTTAGCAAGGGCCTGGCACACAAAGTTACTCAGTAAAGGTTTATGGTTGAATGAAGGAAGTAAAGAAAGAATGATGCAATATAGAGTTTCTTACACTCAAAGTGCAGATCTCTTTTAAACTTAAAAGAAATTGTACAAAGAATCTCAGTATTTGATTTTAAGTTATCTTTATTTTCAAGTTACTTACATGTGGACGGATATAAAATTCCTTCCAGCTACAACTCTTATACAATAAAACCAAAGCAAATTTACACACCAAGGTCAAACATAGATGGCAAAACCAATAAAATTCAAATAAACAACACTGACATGGACACGGGTGACATTGTTTCAGGAAAACTCCATCTCTGCTGCTACTGTGAAGGGGGTGCCCAGGACCACAGGGGCTTCCATGCTGGGCAAGCTTGCCTGGCCGAGACAAGACTCAGCTTGCCCACTCCCTTCTGCTGAGACTCTTGATTCTGCCAGTGCTCAAGGACAGTGACATCATGCTCCCTTGGCCTGGCTCACAGCACCTTTTGCTTATCTGGTGTCCTTTGCTTTTCCTTATTAGTCTGCAACAATTCAAACAGTGGCCCTTGGCACCAATGCCATGGTAAACATAGTCACAAATGCAGGCCTTAAAACTGCATGGCAGGTCTCAGTGAGGAGGTGGTGGCCCAGATCTGCCAGACTGGGCCAGTCATAATTTCCGAAAATTATTGAGCCAAAGACACAGAATTCAAGAATTTTCATAGAAGGCTCACAAACCCTCAAGTGTCAAGCTGTGAATCCTAGTTTGAGAATGTAGTAAAAGGGCTATACTGTATGGATTTTGGAGTCAGGCATCATCAAATCCACTAATATTTAATGAGCACCTACTGCATTCTAGGCCCTATTCTAGGGGCTGCCTTGGGCATGTCATTTAACTGTCCCATGCTTCAGATTCCTCAGCTGTAAGATAGGAACAAAATTCCCACTCTCACAGCTTTTAGGATTTCAAACCATACAGGAAAAGCACCTGGCCAAGAAGTTAGTATCTGGTGGGTGTTTAATAAATGCTAACAGTTATTATTGAGGATAATCCTCAAGGGCCAGTAAGGATTTAGTCACTGTTGGTTCCATTGCCTTACCCTGGGGGAGTGGGGAGTTTTGACCCCAGCCCTCTGATACCCACCCTCTTCCCACTCAGATGCACATGATCCTGTGTGACTTGCAGCTGGGTCTGAGCAGCTCACACCGGGCCCTGGAAAAGCGAATTGACACATTAGCAGGGAAGCTGGATGCCCTGACTGAGCTGCTTAGCACTGCCCTGGGGCCTCGGCAGCTTCCAGAATCCAGCCAGGAGACCACATAGCTGGTGAGGGGGCTGGGACTTGAGTGGGAAGTGTGACCCTGGAAACAAGGCCACCCTTTCTCTTCAGCTCTGGCTCTGTCTGGAGGAAAGGGCTCTGAGTTCAGGGCTGAACTGGCAGTGAAGGAAGGAGACATTCATTCTGTCTCCACTTCACTGAACCTCAGTACCTTTCTCCCTCTTTCTCTGCTTGTTCTCTGCCTGTTTCTCTCTTCCTATTCCTAGGCATGTTCTCTAGCTCTGTCCATCTATGCCTCTCTCCCAATGCCCATCTGCACCCTGGTCTATTGGTGCTGGGGTACGCCTACCCTCTTCCTCCCACCTCTGCCCACTGGTTTGTCTGCCTCAGTGTGTCCCCACTCTCACTCTCCCTCTGCTTTCTGGTCTGCCTGTCCATCAACCTCTCTTTGTCTGTCCAGGATCCATGGAGGAAGAACCAGCCTGCTTTCCCCAGGACTGAGGTCAAGGACATCCTCCCTGCCAATCCTGACTCAGCCCTGAGAATAAAATACCTCAAGTGTAAGGACCAAAGGGGGCCACACATCAGCATGGCTTGACTCATTGCTGGCTAAAGGGGGGAAGCCTTGGCCCAACTGAGACCCCAAATGGGAACATGGTCACCACCACCCCACATACCCTCATCAAAAACATTTCCACTGTGCTGCTATAGATGACCTCCAGCTTTCAGTTAGAAGTGGAGGCACCTGGGGGTCAGGCTTCTGGGTCCCAGGGGAGGAAGGGACTTGGGGCCTGGAGTCTAGCTAGGATCCTGAGAAGATTCAGTTGCTGCTGGACAAGCTGAAGGCACCAGGACTGAGGCTGGGGCTAGGCAGGAAGCAGCGCCCCCTGGTGGGACAGCAAGGAGGACACGACTTTTCTAGAGCTGCAGAGACTATCTGGTGGGGAGGAAGGAGGAAGAGTGTGCAGCTCACCAGTCTCTGCTCTTATACTTTGTAATAAACGAAGTGTTAAACAAAGCCAGAAGAAGTTGCTGTTTATTTCTAAACACATCTATACTCCAAACTGGCAGACCATTCAGTGGAAGGTCCTTGCCCTGTCTAAATCTGTTTCCCGTCTATAAAATAAAGGCTACTCCAAAGCGTCCTCCCAGCTCTGTAGGCTGGGAAGTCCTCAACAACCCCCTGCACAGATCTGAGGCTAAAAGCAAGAACTCTGAATTCAGACAAATCAGGGTCCAAATGCCCGTTCTGCCATCCACTTCCTGTGGGACCTTGGGAAAGTGCCTTTACCTCTCTGAACATTTTACCTCACCTGTAAAATGGGGCTACCTCCCCATGGAATTGCTGTGAGGATTAAAACAAGGAGTGGTACAGAGGGTCGGGGATTTGGTAAGAACCAAGTACGTGAGAGATAATCATTTTTATTATTTTTATTGATTATCACACACAATAAGTGGCTATCCTTTTTCTTTTTTAAAATTTTTTTGCTGCTCCGCCTCCCCGCATTCCTGACCAGAACCTAGATGACAACTCACCCATCAAAAGACTAACAGGAGCCCCAAACCATCCCACGACCTGTTTCACATCTGGTCAGGAGGAGTCTGCTAGGACTCAGATGAGGAAAAGGAAGAGGGGTGGCACTTAACAGAGGCCCTACTGTGTGCCCAACTCTGTGCTCCCTGCTTTTATAAATCATCATAACCACTCCCTTGCCCCACCCTACCGCATTCTACAGCGATAGAAATAGGTTTCAAGAGGAGCCAGGCTTAGGGCTCACTTAGGAGAGTGTGGTGCTGATAACACCAAGGCCACGGGTTTGGATCCCTATATAGGGATGGCTGGTTAGCTCACTTGGGAGAGCGTGGTGCTGATGGCACCAAGTCAAGGGTTAGTATCCCCTTACAGGTCATCTTTTTGAGAAAAGAAAAAAGAGGAGCCAGGCTGGTCCACGGGCCCAGCCAGTAAGCTAGGAATCCTAGCTGCAGGGCCCAGATTCACACCCAGCCCATCCCACTGCTGAGCCCTCCCTCTCAGCCCCACCTGAGGTGAGTCAGAGGCAGAGTGGCCTTGGTCTGACTTCCGACAGCAGCTTCACTTCAGCTTGAGGAGATGATTCATCCTTACTTCCCTCACTTTGAGGGGAAGCCCAGGCTGCAAGTCATCCTCTTCTGCTCAGCTATCTTTGGATTTCCTAAAAGTCCACAGCCAGCCTCGCCCATTAGCCCTGAGATTAAATTGCGGCCTTCACCACCCACTGCACATACTGCCCTTCCTTTGGATGCCAGCCCACCTGGGGAGCAAAGGTGGGGGCTCAAGAAAGGAATTGGATGACACCTCCAAAGACATCTCCAACACCATTCTCCTGCAGGAAGGCCTCCTAGCCGTGTTGCCAAATCCCCTGCCAAGCTCATTCTTCTGGGACTGCTCTTTCCTCATCTCACTCCCCTTCGGCTGGCAAACTCCTTTCTACTCCTCCTTTAGGCCATGGCTTAGATGTCTCTTCCTCTAGGAAGCCCTCTCTGAAGCTCCCATGGCCCCATCAACCTGTCCCTATCATAATAATATTTATTAGGTCAAGCACTGTGCTAAGTCCTTTATATAAATGGTCTCACAAAAGGAGGCAAAGTGGGCACCATTGGTCCCATTTTATAGATAGGGAAACCAAATTGTGGAGAGATTAAGAAACTGTCCAAAGCCATAGCAAGAGGTGGGATAGCTAGGATGTGACCCAGGCAGCCTGGGTCCAGAGCCCCAGCACTTGACTGACTGGCCCATTCAGACACTGAGAGATCATTATACTGTATTTTCATTTTTGTTCACTATCCTGTCTTCAATGCCAACGCCTCAGTGAATGTCACTGAATGAACACACTGAATACCTGGAATGGCCCAAAGCTCCTCATCTTCTACCACATGTTGGTTTCAGCTGAGACAAGGTCGGAACTGGTTAGAACGGACTTTCAACAAAGAAACTAAGAGAACACACAAGAGATCCCATGTTCTGAATCATCTTAGATCTGTCCCAACTTACCTGCCCCCATCCTCCTGTGTGGGACCCAGGTCCAAATGCCCCCCTTCTGGCAGTTTTTGTAACCACCCCCTGACACCACCACCACCAAATCATCACTTCCTGAAGATCCTGAGCCAAGAGCTGGGCTGCAGACATGAATCTGCAGGCTCTGTCCTCCAGGGGCTCAGTTTCATAGTGATTCTGGATACCTCCCTCTCCTATTTCGGTACTGCCTGCACTATGAGAAGACTTCATGCATGCCCCATACTGCCCTTTGAGGACCTTTCTAACACCAGACCTGACCCAGCCCTTCCCATGCTCAAAGCTCTTCCATGGCTCCCACATCTCCTGTCAAAGTCTAGCTCCGAGGCCTAGATCTTTTTTTCTGTAACTGAAACATATTTCATATAAAGAAGACAAATTAATATCTCAAAGAATTTTTACAAATGCATTCATTTGAGTAGCCACCACCTAGATCAAGTTAGACATTTCCAGACTCCTAAAAGCTCTTGTGTCCCTCCCAGCCAATACCCTCCTCCATCCCCAGTAACCACCATCCTGACCTCCATCTTCATTTCTTTTGACCAACTCTGAACTTTGAAAGGAACCCTGCTGCCTGCCCTGGTGTATATATGCTCCTTGGGATCCGCATAATGGCTGTGAGATTCATCCACATTGCCCATCTTTTTCACTGTAGAACAGTGTTCTATGTTGTCAATATACCCAAAAGCCTCACCTGGAGGACTCTGCAAGATCTGGCTCCATCCTCCTCCTCTCCCCTTCCCTTCCCCTCACTGTCCTGGCTTCTCCAGCCATTGGGCTCCTTTTCCTTCCCAAACATTCTTTGTCGTAACTGCCCGCTGCTCTCCCCTCCCTCTTGCCCCAACCACTTAGGACAAACATCACCAGTATTTGTCCAGTTCTTTGTTATGGTCCATAAAGGAAGCCATATCATCCTAATCATTGAACCAGACTGGCAGTCCAAAGACCAGCTTTGAGCATTTATGCTGTTTGGAATAGCTGCTAACATATAAAAAACAGGAGAGTGCTTTTCACAATTTGAAGGGGATGTCAAATGGTAAAACTTCCCCTTCTTTTACCAGGATAAACTGGCTCTTCTTCAATTCAAGTCTGACCCCCTCTACACCTGTGCCCCATCCACGCCTCTCTTAACCTCCCTAAGAACCCAGCTTCATCCATTTTCCCTCTATCACTCCAACCAGCATGCAAACATGCCGTAATTTCTCTCATCGTATAAACATCCCGCTGGAACTTTAGGAAGCATTTTAGATTCTACAGTATCCTTAAAGTTCACTATTTACCAAACTGCCAAACATCTGGAATGATAAGTACTTATAAGCTTTTCCTTATAGAATCTGTATTATGATATTGAGAAGTTTCCATAACAGAGACTGGGGGGATAAAAAAGCCCTTTTCTTCGTGGTGGAGCCCACGTTCACCTCCAGCTATGCCCCATATCTCTGCTCCCTAGTCAATCACCTCTTCGGAACCCTTTGTTCCCTTAGCTCCAGGTAATCACCTCCTCTGATGTTCTTGCTCCCTCTCAGCCCTCTCCAGGATGCTGCTCCTATCCCTGAGCCCTAAATGTGGGAGGCCCAGGCGCTGGTCTCTGTGCCTTCCAACGCCTCGGCCTGCATGATCTCAGCAAATCTCAGGGCTTTAGATATCCTCTATGCATGAGCAGCTCCAAAATTTAGCAAACTTGTATAGTTATTGATAAAATGACAGGACATCTGTGATTTGCTTCAAACAACAAATTTTTTTTTAAAGTGTTGCTTATATGTGGGAAGGGAAAAGAGAAAAAACGAGACAAGTAAAATGTAGATGATTATCAATTCTGGGCGATGGGTAGGTGGGGTTCTTTATACCATTATATCTTTGTCCATGTTTTTAAAATTCTGTAATGAAAAGTCAGGGAAAAAAAAAACCTCTATCTCCAAACCCCACCTTCTCCCCCTAATTCCAGTCACTTCTTTTTTTTTTTTCCTTTTTGTCTTTTTTCATGTCCGGCAACGGATCGCAACCCTCAGTGTTGCCCCTGTACCGGACCGGGACCAGCAACGGGATCGCAACCCTCGGTGTTGCTCCCGCCCCTCGCTCAGCCAGTGAGCGGGAACCGGTCTGTACGTGGGATCTGAACCCTTGGCGGGAGCGCCACCACGCTCCCAAGCGGCGCACTGTAGCAGTGCGCCACCGGGCCGGCCCCCCAGTCACTTCTTGATGTCCAATGTATACCTCAAAGTTAAGAAGCCAGAGCTCATCAATTACCCATCAAGACTACTCCCCACGCCTGTAAAAAGCATCACTCTTCATCCAGTTGGCAGGCCATAAATCTTTAGGATGACTTTTTTTTTTTTAATGATGTACATCATGAAATTTTGACACACGTATACATTGTAGAATGGCTAAATCAAGCTAGTTAACATATGCATTACCTCACATTTATTTTTTTGTGGTAAGAACACTTAAAATCTACTCTTCTAGCAATTTTCATAACAATACATTCTAAATTATAGTCACCATGTTGTACAATAGATCTCTAGGATAGCTTTTACGTCATTTCTGATTCTTGCTTCCTCTCACACTCCACGTTTAATCCCTCGGCTCTACCTTCAAAACAGATCCCAGTTCTCGACCTTTCTCACATCATCTATCGGCACCACCTTCTTCCTGAGCCTCAACCATCTCTCACCCAAGCAAGAAAATCAGTTTCCGCTCCTGCCGGACAACAGGCCATCCTCCTCACAGCAACCAGCACTGTTTTCATTTAACTTGTCTGTGCATAGACAACAGTGACACGATTCAAAAAAGCTAACACATTCTCAAAAAATTGTCCCTACAGTCCTGACCTGCATCTGTCTATATCCTTCACCCCTACAACCACTATAAATTTTTGTTGTTCACTACAGAAATCTTTACAAAACATGTACCAGAACATGCTGGTCCTTGTTTACATCCTTCCAGTTACACTTGGAAATAAT